ACATAACTTTAGGAGGCAAAATCACCAACAAGTTTTGGGGGATTTAAGTGTCATATTATTTATGTTGATCAAAGCAAGTTACTCTAAACTGTAGACACTTTATTTTGCTACATCAATGTGGGAATTCTTCCCATGGGAAATATTTGACTTCACTACTAGACAGTATAAACACTCAGAAACTAATGAAAGCTTAATACATGGTTAACTGTATAATTATTAGATTAATAAAAAAGACAATGGAGTCATAAAATCGAAAGCTCTACAGTTTGAATGTAGAACCTACAGCCATATTTTACCGAGGAAGCTAATGAAAGAAGCTCTCAAATGTCCAGATAGCGAAAGAACCTGAACCTAGCTCTGATTCCAGAAGACTAATCCGTCCCTCAAAATACTATGTGCAGTAACCAATGCAAGAAGATCAGAAAGCGGATTGGAGATACAAGAATCTCTAATTTCTTCATCAACAATGAAGTACAACAGGGTTACAAGGCAAAAAGTTTGTAAATAAAAGATAATACGAAGCCGAGTGATACTTCCAAAAGCTTGTCTTCAATCCTCTGCCAACCAGTATTTGATGAGACAACGGCCAACACTAATTTTTCCCGCCAAATGGAGAACAGTTCACATAAAGAAGCCACAATTGCTCACTCAGTTTTCACCAAAATCCACTGAAGCTGTCCGGTAAAATGTTTTGTCTTTAATATAGAGTTAGACTAATTTTGAAACAAGAGCAATCATTACAAAAGGAAGTTAGAATAACACTAGTATATATTTTATTCCAGTTTAAACCACATAGACACCTCTGCATGTGGTAACAACAATAATGTTAATTTTTATCTTCAAGACTGATGTCAGTCCATTACAGTGCAGGGTGAAAAAAATCCTAAGCCATATTGTTCAATTAGAATTGAATTGGTGGATGGTGACCAGGGTGCGTGTTTCGTCCTATTTGAGACTCGCCATCTGGGTGTACGTGCATCCCCCAGTGGGTGATGATGTTCCCGCCTAGGCTTGAACCCAGTGCCCATAGTTTCAAACGCCAAAGCGTTATTCGCTAGACCACGTCTTGTGTAACGGGTCATATTAATCGTTTAATTGAATTTTAGATTTTTCCGTCGATTGATTGGACCGAAATGTTCGGTGTCAGGTTGACACGTTGGCATCTTGTGCAGATGCTTCGATGATGTCTGGGCATGCGATTAGAATTGAATTAGTGGATGGTGACTAGCAGTGTAAAATAACAGTTAAACAAGTATACATCTATGAACACTGAATTTGCATCAGTGTTAAAGATTTGAATAGTGTTCATTGTGCTGAGTGTTGTAGATCTCTACAACGATTTCAGGATAGTGAACACCTGACTTACCTTGCCGATCGTGGCTGTCTTTGACATTCTCATCCAAGCAGCATATGTAGATAACTTCAACGTCTTTCAACTTAATACAGACTTTGTTGAGAAGAGTTTTGGTCAACAGACGTCAGCAACCTGTAAAACAGTAATGTGAGAAATAGACTGATTAGAGTAAGAGACATTGAGATACCCTTGTTAACGCTTGTTAACACCATTCAATGAAAAAAATACATCCCACTTCACTAAGAATTAAATATTAGTATATATTAGCATATATCGTAATGTATATTTCTAGAGACTTTAGGGTAAAATTAAGCAGTGAAGACAGTAGTATATTTAATAAGAACAGACGCCGGTGGGTGCGTAATGATGAAGTGTCCCAAATTAGGATGAAACAGCTGTCCAGTACTTCCAGGTTGTCCAATGGCACTCTAAATGATGTCAGCTATTAGTGAAATCATAAAACCAATCAAAGAACGGATTAGTAAACTTCTCTATTTTTTATTCTTCCCGAATTTTTACTATCATAACCCGAAGAGATAAAATTTCTGGAGACAAGTTAGGATTATATTATTTAATGATTTTCTTCCTGGAATCAATCAGAATTTCAGTGCATACGTACAGACAGCGAATGTATAGGCATCAAACGCCTGATGCATCGCCGAAAGTATTTCGAACAGTCTTCTGATAGCTTTTGTCAATAGCTGCATCCCTCTGCTCGATACTGGAGATCAAGCAGCTGGTCAGTAACGATAAACAAGCAACAAGGAACTCTGTTAATGAACGAGCCAACAACCTATTGCACAACGAAAATACGCAGATAAATAGACATTTAAGTGACGTTATAAGACGGAATTTATAGAGGAAGCCTAGTGCGAAGTGACGAGTAGGGTTTTCATCTGAGCGTGACACGGAGGTTATCATATGAGGAGAAAATAAAAGATTGTGTGAAGTCGTGGAGTCATTTGAAAGGAATGGGAGATAAGTGAGCGGTGTGAGGATGTATCGTTGAAGGCTTGTGTTCCCCATGAAACTAAAGAAATAAAACACTTATATTAATGACCTTGAATCAATAAATAGTCTTAATGATCATTTAATAATCTAATACTACAACTTTTATAGAAACTGATATTTATACAATCCAACTACTTCATTCTATCCACTTGTCTATCAAAATGTAAATGAGAAAAAGATATCAATGGGAATACTGTGTAATATAATTACACCTGTATTCCATCATCTGAGTAATGTGAATACAATTACGTCTATGCAAGGATAATAAAGATTTTGAAGTATGACATATGGTTCGTTATATCATAAAGGGAATGTTCAAGAAAATAGCCTAAATTGATGTATGGAATAAGCGTTGAGAGGATTTTTTCCCATTTGCAAGAGCATATAGTGTCTATTAATACGGAATAAATATGTAAACGATTAATGCATTCTGAAATAATGGAGAATGCATTTATACACTAATACAATTTCGCATAGTTATTATTATTAAGGAAAGCAATTAGAAGAAATAAAATGAATTCACTCATCATGTGATTCAGGATATTTTTGTAGATTTAGAGGTTTTTATTGAACCAATGAATTTATTGCAAACAGTATTCACATTAAGAAAACTGTGTTGATTATTATTTTTTATTCCTTTGCGTTCCGGGTGGAACATGGGAATTTAGGCCATAAGGTTTGAATTTTCGGTAGCGGTGGTATTTTTTTTTCTAGATTTACAGCTTGATTCCACACTGTATTTTTGGTACAAGTATGGAATTTTCAGCATGGATATCGGTAGCCCAAATTTCGCAGGCCAACCATAGATATCAGGTGTGCTCCGGCGTGGGCTCGAACCCCGGACCATGTGCATGGTCGGTGAGAGTCCTAACCACTGTGCCACCGACTCACAGGGTAGGGTTGCTGGCTTCACATTAAGCTTTCCTACTTTATCCCACTGGCTAAACAACGTTCAGGTGGGCATCGGTCAAGAATCAGCCCTCGGAACGCAGGCACCTTTGGTGAGCATTTTACCAGTGGGTCATCGACGCATCCTGATTAGTATTACTGTCATATTATTATTGTCAACATTTATTAGTTGCGATCCAGGCGAAATATTAGGCTTCCCTGGCATATCTTCATTTCAATCGGTTCTCTCCTATCAACTGTCTCAACAACTGCCCAATAGATTTTGTGTAGTCTTCACACGATCTTCTCTGTATTGCCTTTGAACCCACAACCAACCCAGCGCTTTCTTCTGAAGACCCACTAGAGGAACCATAAACGTAGATTCACTAAATCGACAAAGTTTTATCGTTTCCATTGTCAGTTTTTTTATAAAGCTACACTGAAGACTCAAAATGCAATCACTATTACCTTTGTCCTGGATTGACACTGTCCAGTATACAATAGTCATCATTGTTTTGAGGTACTTAACCCAAGACTAGCTGTCTATATGATCTTATTCGAGGGATGCTTTCGTCAGGAATATATCCAAGACTTACAAATGTATATTATCATTTGTATTGAATGTTCTCATTCAGCGGTTACTGATATCTCATCAGTCATTTTATGCGATCACACTTTTGTATACATAAGAATGAAATCAGTACTGCTCTTAGAAATATGCCTTCAGCAGCTCGTGATAATGTGCATCTTAAAACTATGTGAAATGCTGTAACAAAAACAGTTGGATGAAAATAGTTTATGTTCGCTGTTCGATAAATGAAGGCAGTACTTTCTCATGGTTAGACCAGCTAGTGATGATCATCTGTGACTGTGTGTTGGCAACTTCACATAATGCATCCTGTGTCTGCTCTGCTTTCCATCTATTCGAACTTGAAACTTCTAATGGCCAGTTCCAAACTTTCATGAGTTTTGCACTTCATATGGACCAGTAGTTATATCCCAAATTGCAGTACTGTGTAACCTGGAACAAGATATGCTATGCAGTTACTTTAACTGCCAGTATTTATTTAATTTTCCAATAGCATGCAGCAAGGCTGAAATCTAATTCAAACATTGTGAACTAGACCAGCTTCTAAAAATTTATAGGTACAACTTTCAAATGACTTTAGAGACTTGTCAGGTACATCAGGGGGATACTGTACTTACCTACTGAAAGTTTTGCGTCAAGGCAATTATTTCAAAGGTTCACGAGTTGTTTTTTATTATTCCTAGGCATTTCCAGTGGAACTTAGGGCTTCAAGCTAGTGGCTTGAAGTTTCTGTAGCAGTGGTGATAATTTTTACAGAATTGGGTTGCTCGCCTCATGCCCAATCTTCCCTCTTTACCAGAATTACTACTGGCTTAGCGAGGTAAATGAGTGCCTTGTCGGCCAGGAATCAAACCCCAGACCACTTGCGCGGTCGGCAAGCACTCTACCATTGTTCCACGGACGTATGGCAAGTTGTTTTACCATATCTCAAACGATTATTTCCCAATACTATTACCCTGTTTGATTGTAAAAATTAATGGAACATAGAAATTAACCTTTTTTGATCAACATTAACTGAAGCTCATGATGCCATCATTTTTATTGCTTCTAAATATGATATAGCAGCAATGTGTTTTAAAAAAACAGTATACATAGCTGAATTTTCAATTCTTTCTCATCCTTTTTGCTTTTCATTTTGTTAAATCAAAATCAATATAGATTGATGAACAGTATACAAATCGATTTTGTTCAAACCTTGAAGAATCTATGCAAGAATTAAGACGTTATGCTGAAATGGTTCCAGGATTTATGGCTTTATCGGCACACGATCGTGAGGTGATGCTAAATCTGCATTTTCTTGACCTACTAAGTTTTCGATTAGCCTGGAGGTAAGTGTGTTTTTATCACTTTCTTCAAAATACTTAAATCATGAAATGATGAGAAATACCACACATCGAGATGCGGTGTGCAGTGATATAACCTGTACCAACTACTCTCATTCTCTGGTATATGAACTTCACATTGTAGGTAATGCAGGCATGTAGGCATCTGTCCCTAGCTTCCCGTTGCAATTTATTGACCTACTGGTCTAAATAATACAACAGGTTGGTATGCTCTATGGTCATTTCAAATGTGGACACAGTGACCTAGCCTTGTCACTCACCGGTGATGTTGATGTCTTCCTTGAGATTATTATTCATATAACTCAGTACTACAACCATAAAAATTATCCTTATATCATTCAAGTCACGGTTTCCTTCCAGATGATACCTAATAAAAGTTGCCAAAACGACATCCTCTACAATGGACAGCACTGTCTTCTCGCGACGTTTATAAGCCAACTGTACAGCATACACTATGGATTGAAAACACCTGTTTGAAATACTGAGCTACCTGAATTTCTACCCAAAGTAATGCATCATATTTTTGCTAATTCTTATTGCCTAACCATTACTCAGGTCCATGAGTCGCTAAATGTATTCAAATCATATTTCTAACTGGCTTTCAAACTACCGTTTCGCATTTCTTGGAGACGAAGGATAACTATGATGATTAGGGATTAGTCAGTGCTTCAGATTGTAAAGCATTGCGCCACGCCAAATGATATAATATAGACCGCTATTTTTACTCGGACATCATGACTGAAGAGAAAATATTGTGTTATAAATTGTGTTGAGAATTCGGTATGTCGTGTGAGCATTTTCACTAGAATTATTATGATTACTATTAAAACCACTCCAACTACTACTAAGTGAATCACTAATTAAGTCCTGTGACAAGTTCCTTGTGGCTTAAATAGTTATACGTAATAAATGATTGAAGGTGGCATGGCAATCTGTTTCATTGAAGGTTTCTAACCAACAATCTTTAGTCTACTTCAATAGCTTTCTTCCAGTCTACGGCTATCCAAAATAGCGTGACCGTCAACTACGTAATTTTAGACTGGAGTGACTTTCTAAGTGAATGATGCGAGTTTGAGGGTCAAAGCGAGTCTCCCGAGTGTTGTGTACTTCTCTTGATGATGTTTGTTGAAAAGCACGGGAATCCAAACCAAGTACATCTTTCTGCCTACTGATTCACAAAAAGCTAAGAAAATTTTCCTTATCTTAAATAGGGAATTATATTCTAGAAAACATTGTCAACGTGTGAATCTGCAGTTCCATATTTTTTGATTATCGAATTTATCACACAGGGAAACAGTATTATTTACTGATGATGTCTTGCAAAGAATTTATTATCCATAATCATACTATTAATTGTAACTATATGACTTCTACATTCGATTGCTACAGTTCTTGTTCTTTCCTCCCGTTTTCTGTAATGGTTGTAGAACTTCCCTTTTTCGCGTATTCCGATAAAATTCCGTAAATAAGGTTTCAGTTATCAGTCTCTTCTTCTACCCTGTTACATTAGATTTTGAAACAATAACCTCGTCCAGTCCTCTTGTTTGATGGTTTTTAATATCATTGAATGTATTGGCTGGGTTTTTTTCGAGGTTTATGATCGTAGTTGGGTCCACTAATCTGGTATATTATTTAATGTATTCCTTTAAGTTTTCAGTCGAACGTAATACTTCAAGCTAGAGCCTTGAGTTTTCGTCATCAGTAATTCTTTTTTCTATTTTTCATGGCGGGCAATTGCTGACCTCATGCTCAAACTTCACTCTTTACCGGTCTTATTGCCGAGGTTTGGGAATAGTCGGCTAGGGATCGAACTCCGGACCACTTGCGTGGTTGGCGGGCATTCTACAGCTAAGCCACTGACCCAGAGATATGTATGATAAACTCACTTATTCTATTTAATTAGCACCATAAGATATTTTTACCGTCATAATCTGTTTTCAGGTGACATTATTGATTTGAACGCTACCTACATTCCTGACATTTTGAATCTTACGAGAAGTTTCATAGGTTTCGTCTTTCTGCGGTAGCCCCTCTTATGTTTGCAATCGGTCTTCATTTGTAACTGTAATTCAACCTGTGTGATCTGTGTGAGGGATCTCCGTAGTATTTGTGACAGTGGGCAATACAAGAGTAATCATAAGTTACCTGAGTTGGGTGACTTAATGGCTATGGCTTCACACTGAAGCTATTTTTGGTGATTGGGCCCAAAACAGCAGTTAAAGCAGTGCAATTAAACTACCCAGTTTAGTGACCTCGAAAACATGCAAATCGCCCACCTGGAATAAGAATCACCACTATTTCAACTCACTGAAATGTAGTTTTCTATGTGCAGCCAAAAATTATTGACACCATGATGACTTACTTGTTTCATTTCTAAACAACCTAACGCTTGTTCTTCAATCCCATCAGACACTACCACCTCAGTAAATCCTATCAGAGGGTTTAAGTTACACCTTTTAAACAAATGGTTTACGTTGTATTTTACCAGGAATATAATTTTTCCCACCTTATTGAGTTGTTCGCAGAGAAAATAGCCAACGTGTCGCTCTAATTTGCGTCTGACGGTGACTTTGTTAATATTTAGACGACCCTGATCGATGTTTACTGCCTTCCATTCATCTTGAACTTAAATCTTTATTCACGAAGCTATATGCTACTGATAAAATGATATCAGTAGTTAGATATCATTCACATCAAGCAGTAATGCTTGCTAGTCAGATCAAAATGATCTAAATACCAGACGGTCATTTCGCCCATTTGAAGCCATTAGCGTTGTACCCAGTTTGATGCAGATTAAAATGCTCTGAATCCTGGCTACCTACTAGTCTTTAATAACCCTTTAGCTGCCTACTTCCAGCAATGAAAAGCGAGCGAAATATAAACATTGTGTCCAGTTGTTCGTTTGATGAACTTATACAGCTGTGAGGAATAACTAAAGAATAAACTGACACCAACCTGGAACAGTTACATAGAGGTTTCTTGATGATATCCTGGTACCAGATAGACTTTCCTTCAGATGTATTTGCTTTACCACTGATGCTGAGAAATCACTCCCCTTTACTCTGAATTGTTGTTATTACCTAAGCTTTCTTTCAGAGAAATATTCACTTCTAGGCTACGGTAATAAGGGTGTTTATTACAATTCAACAGGATGACATATTTTATATCAAACTGAAACCGTCACTCTCTCAGCTGTCTGACACGCCACATAACCGTTGGACAATGGATTGCATTTCCGGGTACTTCTGCAGATGTCGTACTTTACGTACTTAGGCTCCACACAACTGATTTTTCTCATTGATTACCACCTTACCATATAAGCGGTTGACGAATACTATTCTCCTGACCTGAATTAATGGTCATTAGAGGAGTTTGGTAGTGGCGGAAAATACTCATAATGAAAAGCTAAACTTCAAAAGATAAAAATTTAGAAAATTTCTTATTTGAATTTCTAGCGGATTGATTTTATCGGACTCAAATATTCAGTCTCTTCTAATATGTTGATTTTTAATGCAGGTCCTTCGACAATGCCTTTTGTCTTAACATAATACTGGTTAGTCGACTGTTGCTAGTATTAAAATCTCAGATATACGCAAACCTAGAGGGATATTCGAATCATCCTAATGAGGGTGAATATTTTAGTCCGATGCACTCAGTCAACCAGGAATTGAAAATAAAAACTTTCACCAATATCCACTGTCACTGAAGTAGTCGAGATTAGTCTTGGTGACTGAATTGCATCATACTCTTCAAGCAAAATAATGGTCAGCGATTCTATCGCTGGTGGATGGCTTACTAATATATACTAATAAGGAGCCCTGAACTATGACGAAACAGTAGTCCACTAGTAGTTTTTGGGCATATGAAGATGATAAGGACAAAAGGTTGTTTGAACAGAAATTGAAAGCAATGCCAAAGGGGTGAATCGGGTAGAGATGTACCCCTGAGGCCGTTTTTCGCTCATTTCCACTTTGAATAAAGCAAAAACAACAGTGGCGGTTTGTGCAGAATAATATGGTACCATCATTTATTTCGTTGGCTTCTCATCAGCTGCTCACCACCTAAATAAATTATAAGGTTTCCATACAGAAAAAGTTTTACAAATTTGCAAATTTACATGTTGTCAGTTGACAGAAAGTTCCGCATTTAGTGAACAGTCCTCAGAAAGTAGCGCTTATATAGTTTTCACAAAGGCAGTTCAGTTTAAACAAAATTCTTGTATGCATACAATGGTAAAGGAGTTACGTAATAAAGACAAGAGATGCGTAAGATGATAGATGACTGACTAATAAATTCGGTAAAAATGTGCTGAGTTCAACTCAAATCATAGGAACAAGAGATAAGCAAAATTACAGATTATAAAAGGGGGTGAGTTTAAAGGCAAAGATTACGTAATCAAATGAGAGTACAAAGATATCCAGTTACCAGATTGGCAAGAAAAGACTAATAACTGCTTCTTTCTGAACACATGAATCTGGTTTCAAGCGTTTGATAGAAATTGCTTCGACAAATTCCATTATGGATAAGATTTTATTTTGATAAATCACTCATAGTGTAGTACAGTTATATTAACTGATGACGTTTGGAGCACAAAATATTGCTCATAATCATATCAAGTGATTGCTTCGACAAACTTGTGGAGAATTTATCTCCCTTGTCTATTGATAATTTTAAAGAATTTTGCGATTTCCACCTCATAACCTGAATCAAGGAGATGGCTGGTAACGGCACTATTATAAGCATTTTCCCTTGAGACGCAGGCTTTTCGGTACATTTTCAGAAAGTCGGAGGTGTGTGCTCTTTTCTGTTCTCCCAATGTAACTGCTTCGGCAGATACACGTGAATTTGTAAACACCATTGTACTTAACATGCGAAAGAGAACCTTTCGAATTTTGGACTGCGCCAAAAAGCATGTTGTTCGATGGTCGTGATTCAACTAAGCTGCAGGATAGGCTCTGGCTAGTGACGTACTCAGTCTTCTGTTG